TTATTTATAATTTTTTATTTAATTTATTCTATAATTATGATATGTTTGATCAATGATTGAAGAAAACGTAAGGTGGGTAAGAACAAAAGCAAAAGGTTGAAGGTCAATGTGTAAAATTTCAACCCATGCCTTAGCACTTAGCAGCCTTACATAGTCTCTCTAATTTTCGTTTTTAAGTCGAAAAGAGAAAAGAAAAAACGCAGTGCGATTGAAATCTCGCAGTGGTTTTGTCTTCAAGAAACATGATCTGCGTCAGAAGAATGTCTCTGTCATCCTACATCATTCATGACAAGAAGAATCTTAATAATACATTCTGTACATTTTTTTATAATTTATTTATTTATTAAGTTAAAATAATTTACAAAATATCTGTTTTTAGCAGTGAGTGTGGAACGTCTCAAAGCTGAAATAGTTGCCCTACGAGGAATTTAGTTTGTGAAACACACTTTGCGTATTGCACATTTGCAGGTTTACTATGTATCATTTTTAGTTTGTGAAACACACTTTAAGAGTCTTTTTGTTTTAAAATTGAATAAAATTGATTTTAAGATCGTTGAATATAGTTAAAATATCTATTTAAATTAATCTCAATCATTTATTTTACCGTGAAATATTGAAGCGAAAGATATTAACTCCAGAAGTGGCTTTCGACAACATATCTCAAGTCAATAACTCATTTTTTGAAAAATAATTATATTTTTATGAGTTAAAATTTGTTGTTTAGATATTTAATTTTAAATAATTTTAGTAAATATTTTTAATAGACTAAAAAAATCTAAATCTTAATAAAAAATGAGAATTTGAAATTATTTTTTATTTATTGTGTGTTTTATTGACATTTTTATTTAGTTATAGTTAATTTAATAATTGAAATTTTAAATTTTAATTAATTTTATCAAATAGAGCGATAATTTTATTTTTTAAAGATATAAATAATTTAATTATTCTATCCAAAAAAATATTTTAAAATAATATATAGTTTAAATTCTTTTAAATTTTTAATTACCTCCTTTAAACACAACTTAAAAGTTTGCCAAACAAGCATTTAAATTTTGAGTTCTGGTGTAAAAAGAACTATGTTGTAACATAATATACTTGATTAACAGTTTAAATTAGTTGGTAAATATTTTTAAATTATACTTAATAATTATTAATCAAACTGTTTCTTTATATGTAACTATTACAAGTTGAAATATTTTAAAAGTTAAAAAAAAATACAAAAGTTCACTGGTGATTTCACATCTAACTAGTATAGAGTAGAAGAACGGGCTTGTTTGCTGTAAAGTTATTTCTTCTGTAATCTGAATGCACTCGAAGTTCGAGTTTTTCCATTGATTTTCAAAGAACCTTTTTTGTAAATAAACTAATAGGCTCACAGGTCTATTTGATAGCTGACAGAGAAAACGGGTAAGGCCCTAACTTTGCAGATTCAATTTCCCCTAACTAGTGTCTGCTGGACCTCCGTTTTGGAATTCAGTTTTTATTTTTCGCATCCCCTTTTTTCGAACCCCATTAACAATTTTATAATTTTTAAAAATATGATTTCAGAAAGTATTAATTACTGCTAAAATTTGTTTTCAGAATTTAATTTGTGATTTAAATAATATTTTATTCGTATACTTAACTTTATAAATAAATCTTTACACATATATTTATTCTCACTTTAATTACGATCGATCGTTTACAAAATTTCAAGTGGAGATTCAATCAGAAATTTGTATCCATAATTCTAAAGAAGTGTCTTAATCTTACTAATTGATAATAATTGAGACTCACATATTCACAACAGCAACTTTCCATTAGCACCTTTCTTTGCTCATTGTATCTATAATTCAGTTATTGAGGATTTTGTAAGAGAGTATGAAGTATTCAAGGGAAGTATGAGAAAGAGTTGGAGAAGAAGGTTTGTGTTTGGAACAGAAGATTTTGGCAAATAGGATTTGGTTAAAATAGAAAACGAATGTGTGTTGTCATGTTGGAAAATGAAGTTGGATAAACCAAGGGAAGGGGAAAGTGAGACTTGAGTTACTTGAGAGAGGGAAGTGAAATCTTGGACCAGGGACTTGGAAGGAGTTGGTGGAAGGCCATGGATGGAGAAGGGAAAGTGAGTGTTGATGTGCTGCTGCTTCTGTTTGATGGGACTTGCTGGGCAATGATTTTCCATTGTTAGCACACATGTAAACGTTATTTAGTTGAAACTAACGATAAAAATTAAATTAAAAATAAATATATGTATATGATTTATTTATAAAATTATATATATAAAAACTAACTTACAAATTTAAATTATTTATAAAGATAAAAATAACATTTAAATCTTAAAAATTTTGTTCAAACCTAAAAAGATAATTTTTATAATATATTATAAATTAAAAGGACATTTTATATTCTCATACACGTAAAATAATTATTATTATTTATTTTGTAGTAACAAATATTATATTATGATTAAATAATATATTTAAATTTTAAGAAAAATCTCAATTGTTAGTTTAAAGAAGATATGCAATTTTATCTTTAAGTAGCATCTAGAAAACTAGTTATTAAACGAGGCCTTATAAAGAATAAACAGAAAAGGAGAAGACGGACATGAACGTTTGAGCCAAAAAAGAAAGAGAAGAAAATTACGGCTTTGAATATTGTCTCTAGCAAATTCTCGCGTTCCCAATCCCCCTCCCGAGAGAGAGCAAACAAAATATTTAGGTCCAATGGATACCAGAGAATCCAATGGGTTTTGGTGGTTAACCAGTCCAATCCAATTAATATTTGGACCAATTAAATAACATTACAACCTATTACATCAAATGACTTATGTTATTGCTTATGTTATTGGTCCTTTGCTCAACCGAAAATAAATTTATTAAGCTCTTTAAAGTTTAAAAAAAATGTAAAATATGAAAGTGAAGCTTATTCATCTTTAATTTAAATTAAAATATTCTTCTAAATACAATTAACCTAAAACTAATAATAGATATATTTTTATATGTAATCTTAATAGATATAATTGCGTTAAATGAAATAGCGTTTTCACGATGAGCCAGCAAGAAAATAAATTAATCTAATGATCCGGTGCGAATGACAAGATTGGAAAACTAAAATGTACTCTAGTATACAAAATAGCACTATATTGTGAATTTGTGATTTTGACGCTTTACCCTAACTTTTTCCTAAAAAAAAAAACCTAATTTCTCCTAGTATTTACAAATACTACCTTTGATCAACAATTAGCTCGTTGACAAATTTTGAATACGTTTAAAAAAATCCTAATTAATATTTATTTATTATATAAAGATGTATATCATAAGTTGAATTACAAAATATTCAAAATAAATATATTTTAATAAATCATATTAAAAATATTCTTTCAAAAGCCTGCTGTGCTAAATCATTAAAGCAACTTGATTAGATCCCTCAAAGTGTGACCTTCTAAAACTCCACAGTCCACATTGATGATTGAGGAATGCGTTCAATTGCACTAGTAAATTTCTAAAATTATAAATTGTAATATTTTGGTATAATTTGTAAAAAAAAAAAATTAGTAATTTTTTTAACTAAAATAATTCACTCTTAATTTCATAACTAGTCATTCAAAATAATAGAATTTATGTGAAAAGTATTTAGTAAAGGTAAACTACTATAAATTTCCGATGTATTATTTTATAAAGTAAATATTTATATATAATCTTAAAAATATGATAAATATTTAAGAAAATTGTATTTCGTAATTTAAAAAATTAAAAACATTAAAATAAAAATAATTAGAATTATTCTCACTGAACTAACCACTCCACCGCCTCCCCCAAATTATCAATCACAAAACTAGTGGTGGCACAGTGGAGAAGGGCACAACAACGTCTAGGATCGTGCAACTAAGATTCAGTGACAGCTTATTTAGATTAATGTTTGATGTTTATAAATTAATTATCACTTTAATACTATTAATTATAATATTTATTTTAAATTTATAGAACTTAAATTTTGAGGCGATCTAGGTGCATTTAGCATTTAATTGTATCATATAAAATATATAACTCACCCGTCTCCTTTGAAGCATGATTGACCAGAGTCTCAAGCTACTTTGTTTTTAGAAAGAATATTAATATTAGGTTTTAGAGTTAACTTTTTTAAAACTACAATGTTTAATACAACTAGTTTATTAAGATTCGAATTTGAAATGCGTTCATTAACATTCGAATTTAAAATCTCAAGTTAAAGATGAAATCATTTTTATTAATTTATACAGATATTTAGTGATTCTTAGAATTAATTTAAATATTTAAAATTATGATTTTATTAAAAGATAAATAGTTACTATATCAAAATAAAAATATGATAGATTATAATTACTATTTGTTTATAATATAAATATTATTTTGAAAAATTAATATTAAAACTAACTGGATTTTAAATTGATTTGATTAGGTAGAATCAAATACCTAATCCACGAAACCAAGATCTCTGATTTCTTCTTCCTTGTAACATGTGCCAATTGTAATCTCACAGTCATAGTCTCTCATAATCAAATTTTTTATTTGATAAAGTGGTAGCTGACGGTGACGCCGGGAAAAGAGCACTGCACTGGTCAGTCAAGAAAAAAAATATAATAAATATTTAATAAAGACTTATTTATTATATTAGAATATTAAATTCAATGTTTATTCTTTGAAGTAATTAAAATTATTTAATAATATATATATTAAACATTTCTTAGTTTCTTAACAAGTCTCGAGAATATCGATTAGTATCTACCTTCAACCTTTTACTATTACATTATTTTTACTTAATTATTATTTGTTGAAGCTTACATAGCAGCAATGCTTGAAAACGCAGATACTAATCAACATTCACTCAGATACGCTCAGAACAGATATCTGCAACAAAAATAACCTGTTAACTACTATAACCAGCTTCAGAGTAGATCAGTATATTCAAAGAACGTAGAACGGTACTACAAGCTATTGATTAAATCAGGTTGAGTACTGAAGTTTGAGGCAACGAAGATGTTCAATTGCAAGTATGCACCAAAAAATATTCCCAAAGGTGTGTTCTTATTACCATTCATTCTTCTTGTCATCGTGGTACTCCTTCCTCTGGTCACAAACTTAATTCAATCATCTTCTAAGATATATGCCACCAACTTGGAAACCAAAGAAACAAGGAGTTGCAACATATTTTCTGGAAATTGGGCTCCTTATTCTAAAGAACCTTACTACAATAATGAAACCTGCCCTTTTATATTAGACCAGCTAAATTGCATCAAATCTGGGAGACCAGACACAGGGTTCCTTAAATTGAGGTGGAAACCCCATGATTGTGAGCTTCCAATGTTCGATGCTACTCAGTTCCTGAAGCTTGTCCGAGGAAAATCAATGGCCTTTGTTGGGGACTCCATGGGGAGAAATCAACTGGAGTCCTTGTTGTGCCTCATAAATAGTGTAAGTAATCAATCATTAATGCCCCTTTTAGTTTTTTTTTTTTTTTTTATAGGATAATCCAATTTATTGATTTTTTGAGCATGATTAATTGATGACTGTATAAAAGGGGTTATACTCGGGAGTTTCAGTAGGGTATAGTGACAATAAAAAATTGACCTTTATGGTATAGTTTTTCTTCATATACTTTATCAGGTTGCACATCTTGAAGATATTACAGCCAGATACACATCATATGATGACATATTTTTTAGATGGTGGTTCAGTGCTGATTACAATTTCACTGTTGCAACATTGTGGTCTCCTTTCCTAGTCAAATTCATTGATTCTGATGTCAGTGGTCGTGCTTTCTACAGCGCCACGAAACTATATCTAGATGAGGCAGATAGAGCATGGACCAGCAAAATTGAGAATTTTGATTATGTGATTTTCTCAACTGGACAGTGGTTCTTTCGACCATTAACATTCTACGAAAATGGGCAAGTTGTTGGTTGTCAAAAATGCGGGAACATGACAGAGCTTAACTACTATGGATACAGGAAGGCATTTCAAACAGCATTAAGAACAATAAGAAATGTTAAAGGGTTCAAGGGGTTGACTTTTTTGGTGACTCACTCTCCAGAACACTTTGAGAATGGATTGTGGAATGAAGGTGGGACATGTAACAGAACAAAGCCCTTTACCATTGAAGAAAGAAAAGGATATGAACATGGGGATATTGTGGAGGCATTGTATCATATACAAGTGGAGGAGTTTGCAATAGCAGAAGAGGAAGCAAGAAAAAAGGGGTTGCACTTTGGTTTGATAGATATAACTAATGCCATGGTGATGAGGCCAGATGGACACCCCAGTAGACATAGGCGTGCAGGGGATAAAAATGTGACGGTCAATGACTGCGTTCATTGGTGCTTGCCAGGTCCTGTTGACACATGGAATGAATTCTTGCTCTATGTGATGAAACTGGGAGAAGAAAAGTTGAAGGGTTACACATTATGATCTGTATTTTTGTATTTTTTGGGATGATTTCAACACCCAGATAAACATTCAAGATGTATTTTACGAAGCCATCAAGGTGCTTTTATTTTTGCATTTTCAGATGTCCAAGGTCACTGTTATTTTCCGTGTGAGTAATATGTCAGTTTTTGTTCTTTTAGTTCTTAAAATTATGTATATAAAATTATCAAGTATCTATAATTTTAAAAACCAAAAATTATTTCTCATACCTTTTATATTTAAAAGTTTAAGGATACATAATAATTTTAAGAATCAAAAGAACAAAAACTTTCATATTTAAGCCACTAAGTCCCTACAAATTAATATTAAAAAGTTTTTTTTTTTATCACTTACACGTGCTTTGAGACAGATATCATTGTACGCACTAACTCACACGGTGAAACCGGAGAGAATCTAGGATCCGCGTGGCAAACTCTTTTTCACATGCCCACCCAACTCCGTCTTTCAATGACATCATTGGTTAGCGACAATCGCTGCTACCTAAGTATATCTCTGCTCCATCCACCCACCCAATAGTAAACTTTTTCTTGATCCTTCTTAATATAATTGTTTTTAGTCCTTATTATTTTTACATATTTAACTTTTAATTAAGATTTTTCAAATTAATATTTTTTATTTTAAATATAATTTAATATATATTTTTTTATCTTGATTCTTATTATAAGAAATAAATAATAGATTTAAGATGTATTAATTATTATATATTTTTATATTTTTTTATTAGTATAATTAAATATACCATTTAATATTATAAATATTTTTAAAATAGAATTTATATTTATAAAAAAAATATAATTAATTTAATTATTTTTTTAATTTTAGTGATTTAGTATTTTATTTCTTATAATAAAGTTCAAATGGAGTATTAGTTTTACTAATTGTAATAATAAAATTAATTTGATCAAACTAAGTATTAAAGTTGGTGTAATCATTAGTATAATCGACTTAAAGGGGGCAGCTATTAAAACACATGCTTTAGATTATTTTTTTCTATATTAGGACTTCATATAATAAAAAACAATCCGATAAAATATTTTAAGTTACATTAAAAAATGTCAATAGTTAATAGAAAAAAAGTCAACAGTTAATATTTTTATAAAAAATTAATTGATGAATAATAATTACAAGCAATATTAAAAAAAAAAAAGATATTAGATTGTATTACCTATATTCAAGAGGACCCATTTAAAAGATTAATAAATATTTTTTTTTACTAAAAATCATCTTAAAAGAACATTCAAAATTACAGTGAGAATGTATTAAAAATAATTTTAAATTAGAATCTAAAGATACTGATTACTATTAGTTAAACATATAATCTTTAATTTATTATAACTTTTTATTTTATGAATGTTTTATTATTATTTTTTAAAAATATCTTATTATTCTTTTTAAGTTTATGTATGTTGAGCTGACCCTTTTACCTAATTTATAATAATTACTTTAAAAGAATATTAGTGTTATTAGAATAGTTAGTTGATAAATATATCTTTAAAAATTAAAGATGTATTTTTTCGATAAAAAATAATATACAATATAGGTGAATGCTCTGGCGTAGTTGTAATTGAAAGAGCATCTAATGTCCTTTTAGCTGAATTAATAATTAAAAAAAGTTTAATATTTTATTTTTTAAGAATTGTAAAAAGCATCTTGTGGGAGTGTGAGATAAGGCAAAGGGGATGCAGCCGAACAACCGTAGGGCTTCCAGCAGTGATAATTGAATTTTCTAAAACTTATATTTCATATTAGGAAGAATAAGGCCTTGTTTGGAGTTTTTCCTAATCTATGCCGAAGGGCTTCCGACTGTTGTTGGGGTTCCAAATCGATAATGTGCAAAATTAGAGTGAGCGTTTGTTTCTCCGCCTCACAAGTTTCTAGAAGCGTCTTGAGCTGCTGTTTCATCAAAAACTCCTCCACAACTACTATGCCTGCTGCTTGTTCTTAGGCCTGAAATTGATCTGTTTGCTTTCCAACAACTAACAAGATTTTGTAGATCCTTGCTACGAGTTCCCGTTGTACCTTCTAGAAACCTTAATTTAACTTTTTATTTTTTTATTTATAAAACAAATAAAATTTTAATAAGTTATTCAATTCTTAAGATATCATTAGATTTTATCTGCTTATTGTATTAAAAAGTAGACTGCACACGTTCTTCGTGTGTAAATATGTTTACAACCTAAATGTAAATAAAAATTTAGAATTTTTTTAAATTAGTCTTTAAAAAATTTGTTAAGACTTAGTCTTTTATAATTTTAAAATATTTAAAATTAATTTTTATCATTATTATTTTTAATATTTTATTATTTAAATTTTAATATTTATAAAAATATCTTCTAAAATACTTGTAATATTTTAGAAAATTAATAATTGTTTCAAAAAGTCCCTAACATCGGTCTTTTCTTCTCTGTTGATGTCAGCAACATCACAGAAGAAAAAAGTCCCTAAAGTTTGTCATTTTTATTTTGTGTCTCTTAATGTCTGCATCTTTTTTTCTTATTTCTTCCTTGTCTCAGAAGTCCTTTGCTTGGAAGATGTCTTTTGTTGTCACAAAAGAAAAACTACCCATGATACAATAAGTAGAAGACGAATCAAATTTGAACTTCTTCACATGCTTTTTCACTCCACCCACTGTGTCATTACTCTTATCGTCGACTCCTTCTATGTCAATGCCATCAATGTTGTCAGAGAACTCAACATTCCCTCTTATATCTATTTCCCCTCCACAACTCTCAGTCTTCCACTTACCCTTTTGTCATCAAATCATGTTCAAGCTCGTGCAAGGTATTAGAAAGGAAAACTGGTGGCAAGGACGAATTGGAAGCCATTGTAAATGACTTAAGTGTGGGTTTTTGCAAAGTGAGAGAATATGTACACTTTGTTGATGAGGGACACTGTGTTGTAGCAAACTATGATTAGTGGATTAGTTAGGAATTGTTGTCATGGCGATTCTTTTGGAGTGTTTTGGGACACAATTACACTAGGGGTGCAATTGGATTCCACCATTGTGATTATGGTGTTCTGCAGTTGCAAAGATGCAAGATTTAAGAGTGAAAATGAGGATTTAGAGCATGTTTGATTTACTTTTTTAAAGTAATTCTTTTATTTTAAAAGGAAAAAATTCTTTTTAAAAATACAAATAAACATGTTCTTGTAGATAATTGTACTACAATTTATTTAAAAACTAAATATTGTTTTTAAATAATTAATTCAAATATATTCTTAGTAATTAGCTTTGAAACTTCAAATTTCATTTTGATGGTTATGTGTTGATAGGGTGGATTTTATTGGTGGCAAGGTTATTGTTTAGGATGGCTGGTAAGCGAGATTTGGTGTCTTATAATGCCATGATTTCTATGTAAGGGATTGAGATTGCAATAAAGAGTCTTCTACGCTTACAAGTAGATTATGATGATGATGATGAAAAGTTCGTTAGAAAAAAGGTTGTAGAAGAATTTTTTTTATTTTTAAATATTGATATTAAAATAAATAAATATTAAAAATAATAATAACTTAATGAGCTAAATATTCATTACTCTAACTTATTCCTTAACAAATGATAGAAACTAATTTTAAACATTTTAAAAATATAAGAGATTAAATCTAACAATTTTTTAAGTACTAATTTTAAAAAATGTTACTTTTATAGGTATCAAAAATATAATTTTATATATATATATATATATATATATATATATATATATATAAAATATGAATGCATTATTTGGAAAGTAAAATATAGAGTTATTCTCTAACAATTTGTCATGTGTACATTTTAATATTAAAATTATCACTTAATTTTTTCTTATTATTTATATAATCTTTGTAAATACTTTTTATACATTTATAAAAATTATCTTATATTTTTTTACTTTTTACTTTTTAAAATTTAGAATTTACTTTTAAAAGTCTAATCTCTTATATATATATATATATATATAATTATTAAAATATATTAATTATTGACATTTAATTAAAAAAATTTATACTATATAATAAATATGCAATAATTGTCCTGAATCTATTATGGCTTAGAGATTATTGTGATTTTTTCTTTTGATATTTGGAATAAATTCATCCTTATAATATGTGGGCTACTTTTTTCAGTTTGAGTTTATCTAGTTGGCTTACTTTTAACCTAAAAATTGTTTGTTTAAATAGTATTAACTACTTGAATGTTTACTTTGGGGTTACTCTTTGACTTCTTTGGTTAAATAAGAATAATTGGGCTTTAGTAGAAATTCCTTGGAGCTAAATGGTTTTCTATTTAAGCTCGATAGATATATTTCTACTATAACTTCTGATCTTACTTCCTCCTATTCTTCTCTTTTCAGGACCTGTGTAATACTTTAATTTTAATTTAAATTAAATAATAATTTTACAAATTGGATAACCAAATTTTCATAAAAGGTTTCGAAATAAGTGAAAGATTACAAGTTAATATCAAATAACTGCTACAGGACTAGTTCAATTACAACATTTTCAAATTAAAATCTGAGTCCTATAGCAGTCCATTCGTCCTTTCACTGAACCCGGTGCTGATCGTCTTAGTTACCTGAAAAATGAATGTAAGGGTGAGTACTCTATACTACCAAAAAACACACAATAAACATAGAGTCTCACCTCCAGAACATTTCCAATACATTAATAAACACAATCACAAACAACATTTTCCATCCATAAGCATAATTCATAAACTCATGCATATGCACGCCAGCCACATTCACTGCAGCACTTTGATCACAGATTTACACCATGAATGGTCGCTGGTTACCCCCACCTCACGAATACCACATGGACAGTCAGGGGTCGCTCAGCAAAGGTAATGGTCAGAGGTTTAGTCAGGAAGAGATTGTGTGACCCGTGGTGCACCCGTTCCGCAGTCGATGTCACCACCACTCCCTTTCCCTAAGATATTTCTATCGTCCTCATCTTCCAAACCCTAGTTAGGGATGGAAACAGGCCAAACTGTCTGATAGGGGCCT